AGGATCTGTTAAAATATTCTGAACTGAAGAAATAATTTTTTATTTAAGTCATTTCTTGAGTAATTACAAATATATTCTCTCCTTCACTCTTGTAAATACTTGTTGTCAATCATAGTTAGTAATGTCATTACTTTTTTCACTTGCATATTTTGAAAAAACAAAGAAGGACATGGCACAAATAAGCTAGAGATAATCCTTGCTCTTATGGAGCTCACAAGCTAGAAAAATTGGCAGACAAGTAAATGAAGTATGTCATAATGTATGCATTTATAAAAAGTAATATAGAAATATCTAGAAAGGGCCTCTTGTACCTACGGGCTGCATACTTTAGTGCTTAGGAATATGGGATCTGGAACCAAATTATCAATATTAGAATCCTGGTTATGTGACTCACTATAAGCTTGGGCAAGTTATAGATATCTTTGTTTCCTCACCTGTAAAATGGGGTAATAATAATATTTGCCTCCCATGATTATTATCATAGGCATCTAGTGAATTAATATTTACCAAGTGGTTTGTAAGTGCTGGTTAAGTGTCTGTCAAAAATAAAATAATTAATATCTAAATAGGACTTGGGACATCAGTGAAAGCTTTCCTGACGTAATGAATAATACATTGTGATCTGAAGGAACTAGCCAGGAGAAGGAGGAATATTTCAGATGGGCATTTTGAGGAACACAGAGAAGTGAAGTATGCCTTGGACTTTAAAAACTGTGGAAAGGGAGGGTCCAATAATGAAATTAGGGTTGAAAGCAGGGTGAGAATGTGAATCATTATACAGGTCATATCATGCGTTCTTGCATTTATCCTAAATGTAATTCAAGTACAAAGATGGGTTTTAAATGTCTGATTAACATGATCACATCTGCATTTAAAAGATCAGTTTGGCTAAAGTATGGAGAATTAATTTCAGGGGGAATGACTGGAGAATCAAGGAGATCAGATAAGAGATGATGATAGTCTGGAAGAGGATAATGCCAGTGCGGATAGAGAGAAGAGGGATGAGTAGAAAGGTATGAGGAGATGAAATATTTTCAACTCTTGGTTGATAGGTTGCATGGGGAGAAAAAGGGGAAAGACTCAGAGATGATATCACACCTCCAGACTGGGAAACTCGATGACTAGTGGTGTCATTGGCTAGGACAGGGAATGCTAAAAAAACATGATTGGGGTGCAAAAAGATGAAGTGTCAGTTTTGAACATGCTGATATTGAGGTAAGTGCCTGTAGGATGTGTGTTTGTGTGTTTGTGGTGTGTGTGTGTGTGTGTGTTTGTCTATAACCAAAGCATAGGAAATAAACCTGGGCTGATGATATGAACTTTGGGATTCATCAGTATATATGTGTGTATATATATGGTGATTGAAACCATGAATGCTCTAGGATAACCAAGCAGAAGTGTGTCAAATAAGTATAGAAGAGGCTTGGCACAGAAGTCTGAGAAACATCTTCATTTAGAGGAGACAGGGCAAGAAGCATATCTGAAAAGATAAAGAAGGCTCAGAGTTCAAAATCATGAAATCAAAAGCAAATAGCATTTTAAGGAGACGAGGAAGATCGACAGCTGCAAATGCTTCAGAAAAGTCAAGAAAAATAAGCATGACAATTATCCATTGGACTTAAAAAGATGGTCATTGTGGAGGATTCTGATAGATGTCTGACAAAATCTGTTTTCCCTTGCTTCTATAGTAACAGAACTGTACCCAAGTATGTGGCCATGAAGGTAGATTGTGCATCCCAGCCTCCCCTGTATTTGAGTGTGGCCAAGTGAATTAAGTTCTCACAGATGGATTGTGGGCAGAATTTCTGTCTGCCTCTTCCAGTTATAGAACAAAAGTCATCTGAATATGCCTCTTTCTCCAAGCGAGCTAGAACCCAGATGTGGCAGTGACCCAGCTACACCCATGCAGATTGTATTGCCATAGGGAATGTTGAAGAAATTACTTGAAAGAAAATTTTGTTTCACAAGGACTGTGAGGATCAAAGCTGCCTTACCTACCTAATAATTTTTACATTGGTACTGTCATGTGAAAAAGAGTGACATGTTTACAAGCCACTGTTTCATTGCATCACGTTGGTTCCACAGTATAATCTTACTTAACTTATATGGAAATCTTTGATAACCTTTGCAATAGCAGTTTCAGTAGAATGGTTGTGATGAAAATTAGATTGTACTTTGGTGCAAAGTGAGAGGGATGAGGAAGCAAAAATGAAGTAGACCACTCTTTCGACAATTTTTTTTGAGACAGGGTCTCTATCTGTCACCCAGGCTCACTGGCTCACTGCAGCCAGGCTCTCAAGAAATTTGTAAAGAATGAAAATGTTGTAAAAGGAATAAGAAATACATTGGTATCTGGAGAAGAATTCACTCAGAGGATATTTTAAAGACTAGAGAAACTTGAATATACTTAAAATGCCAATGTGCAATGTTCAGTAGGGAAGGAGAAAGTTAAGATACAGAAGGGATAATGCAGGTCCCCTAGAAAAGTTGTTAAAGATGGGATCCAGGCAATGTATGAAGGGATTGGATTTAGACCAGTGGGAGGGACCTCAGCAAGTGAAAAATATAGATACAGATGCTGTTAAAGCTGTGGAGTGGGAGACAGGAAAATGAATTTCTAGCTGATGGATTCTATTTTCTCAATAAGGTATTAGGCAAGTTCATCTGATAAAACAGGGTATGCAAGTGGTAGGGTAAGAAGTTTAAAGTAAGATAAGTAGGTTTAAAATAGTTATTGTGGAGAATAGAAAATAAAGCTCGTTAGAAAAATTATAAAAGTTGTTTTTGGTCTCAGAAGCCCATTTAGGTTTGAATATTATACATTTATGGTGGCAACAGTATTGCTAATTTTGTAAGTTTGGTCTTATAGAGTGCAGCACCCCATGTGTAAGAGAGGAGGAGGACTATATTCATCTGGGCTGGAGTTTCATCAAGTGGTTTGAGTGAAGGAAAATTGAACAAGGGAATTGAGAATATGGGCATGAGAGTAACTGTGAACGGTAAGCCAGGAAATCAACTGGTTAGGAAGGAAATTAAAACAGGAGCATTTGATAGGTAGTATCAGCATCATGGAATGGAGCTCCTGATAAGGTTAAAGACAAGACATGATAGGAACAGCAGAATGAGAAGGTTATAGGCATAGACAATTGTGCTCTCAGAGGAAGATAGCTGAAATTATTATATCATATGACAGTTTCTTAGTGGGGAAAAGTACAATATGTAGCCAAGGCATTAATGACTGAATAACAGGAGCAGAGGTAAAGACTTAGGGAATGAGAGGTCAAGTTGTTAGATTAATCAGTGGGCACAGGAGTGTTGGCAGAACTTGAAATAGAAAGATAAAGAGAACAATGTGTTTGTAAGATAAAATGTCCTATGTCCCTTTTTCCCCATACTTCTGCCTATTTCAAAACAAAAACAAAAAAACAAAAAAAACACCTGTTATTTGTTTTTTGTTTTTTGTTTTTTTTGTAAGGGTTTTCAAGAGAATCCATTCTGTAAGGCTGGACCATCTCTTGTGTCTCTATTTTCTGTGTCCTTTAACCCCCTCTAGATATAAAATTATGTTCTAAGTTACTTACAACCTATAGTTCTTTCATATAAAATTGGCTGATACAGCTTGATTCCTATGCACTGTTTTAAGTATAACTATAAATGAGGTCTTTGAACTATAAGAGCAAAATTCGTTTTTAGCAATACATTCTAGGAGAATTCGTTGGTTATATGTATCTCGGCATTTAAGTTCCTGAATGCCTGGTCACTCTTCATTAGAGCCAGGAAACTCATAGTTCTGTTTATAAAGAGAGGAGTCCTGCTGCTCATCTATCTAGAAAAACTGGAAGTAATAGGACAAGTACTTGGCCCTTTTCTCCACTGTTGCACCTGCTAGATTTTCTGTCGGAGCTGTTCGAACTATTCTTTCCCCCTCCACCAGTAGATGTGAGAAGATCACAGGGAAGCTGCTAGAATAAATCCCACCTTTGGAGGCCAGGAGTTCAAGACCAGCCTGGGCAACATAATGAGAACCCATCTCTACAAAAATCTTTTTAAAAAGCTGGGGGTGGTGGCATGGGCCTGTGGTCCCAGCTACTTGGGAGGCTGCAGCAGGAGGATTGCTTGAGCCCAGGAGCTCAAGGATTCAGTGAGTCATGATTGCACCCCTGCACGCCAGCCTAGGTGACTGAGACCCTGTCTCTAAAAAATAAACAAAGAAAGAAAACAGAAAAAAAGAAAAGAATAATTACTCAGTCGACACAGTTCAACAGAACTGGTAGTGAAATCTTAGCAAGAAGTATAAACACTAGGTTGTCTTAGATATGCCATAAAAAGAGATTACTCTTCTTGGCATTATCAACTGACTAATACCCAGTCCTTCTACAATGTTAAGATAAAATTTTAAAATATTTTCAAGAAGCAGTTGAGGCCAGGTGCTCACACCTGCAATCACAGCACTTTGGGAGGCTGAGGCAGGCAGATTGCTTGAGCTTAGGAGCTGGAGACCAGTCTGGGCAATATGATGAAACCTTGTCTCCACTAAAAATGCAAAAATTAGTGGGTGTGGTGGCCTGCGCCTATAGTCCTGGGTACTAGGGAGGCTGAGGTGGGAGGATTGCTTGAGCCCGGGAGGTGGAGGTTGCAGTGAGTGGAGATCGCACCACTGCACTCCAGTGTGGGTGACAGAACAGGACCCTGTCTCAAAAAATAAAATAAGAGAAGCAATTGAGTCTAGTCTGTGGCACTGAAAGTAGTCATTTTACTCATCCCCATGAATTTCCTCTTTCCCATGCTTGCTCTGTCTCTTTCATACACACACTTTTTTTGCCTCTATACTTTTACTCATTTTGTTATCCTACATTTTTCTCCCACAACGTAGACTTTAGATTTGTTGATAAAAGTCATGGAAAATCTCCTCCTCCAACCTTGAAGTCTTTTTCTTGCACAGTGTGTCAGATCCTTAAAGGGAGAGTGGTTTAACATGAGACAAAACTACTCCTCTACAACGGTTTGAATTTTTTTTTTTTTAAATTAGAACCCTAAAGGACTCTTTTGATACTATCAATGTTCAACATCTGGTATACTTCTATATGTCTGAGAAAAGTGGTTTTCAAACTTTGGGTTACTACCCATTAGTATACCATTAAATAAACTTAGTGGATCATGACCACATCTGAAAATTGAATAGAATGAAATATATAGGTAATTTCAAATTATATCATAAAAAGACTAAGCATTGTTCACAAGCATTTCTTTCTATTTTGTGTGTTTCAAAATATGTAAAATATAATCTTAATTATTGGTTGCAGCAGAAAAGAGTCTGAAAAGTAGTTTCTGGTGTATATACATTAAATTCTATGATATTACAGCCAAAAAAATTTACACATTAGCACACAACTCCAATTTATGCTATACGAATTATTATTTGGACACACGCATCTGCATTTGACTAGATTGCATTAAAGCTTTGGTACATTAATTTAAAAATTATAACTTCATATTCCCAGATTCTGTGAGTGGCCACAATATTAACGTGCCTGCACAATCCTCTCCAGGATGAATGAGGAAAGGATACTGAGAAACTGGTCTTCTGACCCTTTCGAATTAAGTGATAACACTTACAGTTGTATCATAGAATATAGGTTTCCTGGTTTATTTTTGAAAGCAAAAAGCATAGTTAAAGGTTAACTAAAAACGCACTGGATTTAAAAAAAGAAAAATTATATATCTGAATACCAATCATTATTTTAAGGCTGAAAAAAAGAGAAATGAAGAAATGCTGGAAAATGTGAATCCCTTCCAAATTGCTCTATTTAATTTTACCATAAGCATAACAGTAGGTGAAGTTCAACTAAAGATAGGGGCATGAAAAAAAAATGTGATTTGGTATTGCTCTTTAGGGAGGCAAATTAATTACAATTTAAGATCATCTAGGTTAAAGAATGAATTGCCATCTTTTAAGAACCGGGAATAAAAGTGAATGTTCACTTAACAGCAAAGGAGAAAGAACATGAGAAAAATCAAGAGTAAATCAGTACAGTTTTAAATACACACAAATTGAGGGAAATAAACATTGGCATAGAAATGCCATAAAGTAAAATACCTATGGAATATAAAAGTCGACTATGGTCACTGAATATTGAACCCAAAGTCATTGGAGAAGGTAGCATTTCCCTGTATTTCTTTCCCAGGGCACTGGGGAGGGAAGTCGGGGATAATAGGCTTCAGGAACTTGAACTCATTTGTCCCTGAGCCTCCTGCCAGACACACCTCATACTGGTAACTCTGGGATAAGGTCCCGGTGCCGCTCACGTCCACCAGATGCCCTGGAAAGGGGCCCTTGGGCACCGAGCAGCGACCCACAGAGGCCGCCCTGCTTCTCCTGCACAGCCGCACCGCCACGAACAGGAGCACCGACAAGAGGAAGAGCGAAGACACCGAGGCCAATGCCACCACCAGGTAGATGGTGAGCGAGTCGGCCTGGGCTTGGGCCGGGGCCGCCCCTGGGAGCGGCAGGTAGGGCTGGGAGAAGCCGTCCACCAGGAGCACGTGTAGCGTGGCGGTGGCCGAGCGCGGAGGCTCGCCGTTGTCCTTGACCAGCACCACCAGCCTGTGCTTGGCCGTGTCGCGCTCGCTCAGCAGCCTGGAGGTGCGCACCTCGCCATTGTGCGCCCACACACCGAACAGCCCGGGCTCCGTGGCCTTGAGCAGCTGGTACGACAGCCAGGCGTTCTGGCCCGAGTCGCCGTCCACTGCCACCACCTTGGTCACCAGGTAGCCGGGCTCGGCCGCCCGGGGCACCAACTCGGTACCAGAGCCGTTCTGCGGCGGGTACAGCACGAAGGGCGAGTTGTCGTTGGCGTCCAGCACCAGCACGCGCACCAGCGCCTCGCTGCTCAGCGCTGGGGAGCCGCGGTCTGAAGCGCCCACGCGGAACTCGAACCCCTGCAGGGCCTCGTAGTCCAGAGACCTGAGGGCGAACAGGTGGCCGTTGTCCGCGTTGATGGAGACCAAGGAGGTGAGGGACAGGTGCGGGTCCTGGGGCGGCAGCAGTGAGTAGGTGACCTCGGCGTTGGTGCCGGAGTCTCTGTCTGTGGCGCTGACGCTGCCGATGTGCAGGGCGGGGCTGTTGTTCTCACGGACGAACAGGGTGTAGGAGGTTTGGGTGAAGGCGGGGACGTTGTCATTGACATCGGCGACCAGCACGGTCATATTGAGGTGTGTTGTCAGCCTGGGTGTCCCTAAGTCAGTGACGGTGATAGTGACGTTGTACTCGGCTCTGCTTTCTCTGTCTAGTGGTCTCTCCGTTAGTAGGGTATAAAAGTTTTCCGCGGATTTCAGGAGGAAGGGTAGATCCTCCTGAATGGAGCAACTTATTTCCCCATTTTCTCCTGAATCAAGATCTGAAACACTGAAAAGTGCAACCACAGTTTCAGGCGCGTTCTCAGGTATTGGGCTGGTAAATGCAGACATGGTAACTTCTGGGGCATGGTCATTCACATCCATCACTTGAATCAGAACGGTGCATTTTCCAGAAAAGGTTCCAGCATCTCTCGCCTCGATATTGACTTCATAGGACTGCAGTTTTTCGAAATCGAGTTGTTTTTTTAGTTCAATTTCTCCTGTCAAGGAATCGACCTTAAAAGTTTTGCTTATCTCATCTGAAGCTTGGAAAAGTGAATAGGAAATCTCTCCGTTGACTCCTGTGTCTACATCCGTGGCAGAGACCTTGACAACCAGGAAGCCTATTGGACTGTCCTCAGAGATCTGCACCCTATAGAAAGGCTGCTCAAATTCAGGGGCATTATCGTTGACATCCAGGACTTCAATGTAGACCTGAGCAGTGCAGGATCTGGGCGGAGAGCCACCATCCAGTGCTGTGAGTGTTAACCTGAGTTCAGCTTCTGCCTCTCGGTCCAGCGCTTTGTCCAGCACCAGCTCTGGATATTTCCTGCCATCACTGCGTTTGCGGGTGAGGACCCGAAAATAGGAGTTGGGGCTGATGATATAGTTCTCAATATTGTTTTGGCCTACATCTAAGTCTTCAGCATTCTTCAGAGGAAACGTAGTCCCAGGAGGACTGCTCTCTGACACTTTCACCAACATTTCTTTGTCCAGAAATACTGGAGAGTGGTCGTTTATGTCTATTACCTGTAGTTCAGCTTGAAAAAACTCGAAGGGACTCTCTAGCAACACTTGGAAATGTAGCACACAGGGCTCTGTGTGACCACACAGATTCTCACGGTCCAATTTCTCATTGAGCAACAAATCCCCGGTCTCCTGATTGAGCTGCAAATGTAGTTTGTTCCCTCTGGAAACAACCCTAACCCCCCGCCTGGAGAATTCCCTCTGCTCCAGACCCAAGTCCTTTGCTAAACTGGTGACAAAGGAGCTGCCCTCAGTTTCCTCCACCACAGAATAGCGTCTAGGTTCCGCCGCGCCCGCCAGAAATAAGCCCAAAAGGAGAAAGTGAAAAAGGACTTGCCTTTGTCTGCAAATGAGCTTCCCGCTGGCCTCCATTGTTCTTGGTGGGTTCAGCTTCCTGGGGGGACGGTTCTGTGGGACTGTAAAGTCCCCAGTATCAGAGGCTGTGGTTATTCCACAGATACCTCGGAAATATTGCAGAGAATAGACCTCTTCAGAGGACCCTGCCGTCTTCTCTTTGGCATCCAAGCTTTCCGTGGGCTTCCAGGTTCTGCTGCTTTTGCCGGTTAATGGAGCTGCAACTGCGGTTCTGGTTTGTACCTTCTTATCCTGCAGCGCCACCACGCGTCCTTACAGAATGTTACATTTTGTGAGATGATAATAGATGTAATATTCCCAACTCTGCCTGTATGTACCCTGGGACTATGTAAGGTTACAACACCACCGTTAATATCGCCGGGCCTTACTGAGCAGAGAACTGCCCGAAGGAGAAATTACATTAGTCTTTCAACAATGCTAACTGAGCTTTGGGCAAAAAGGAAATATTTAGGTAACAGTCTAGCTTGGCAAAAAGAATATATGCAGAAAATTTCAAATATAATTGTAGTTAACATAGTTAACTTTTAGATGTTTACACTTTTATTTCCATAAACCATAGTAATAATTAGTAGCCGTGAACCTCGAACAAATTATTTAATCTCTCTGCTTTAGTTTGCTCGTCTGTAAAGTGAGGATAATAATAGCACCTACCACATAGGGCTGTTGTGAATTCCCCACCTTACACATGAGGAATCTGATGCAAAGAGAGATTAACCTTAAAAATAAACTATATACCAAGTATAAAGCAATTTGATGCCATCAAGTAGCTGAATCTTGGTGGCATAAATCCGTCATAAGTCTAGCATAAATCCATTAGTATAACTAGAAAAACACCTCAAAATTCAAATGGTAGAAGAATACAGAAGCATGACTATCTCAGGTAGAGAAGTTATGTCCAATAATGAAGGGAAATGAACAAGGAAAAGCTGGAGAGTTTGTCCAAACAGAGACAATATGTGTAACAGCAGTGGTGATTTTGTTTCTGGGAAGGATGTCCTTTTTTGTTACCTCCACTTCCAACAGCATCAATTAAAAGAAATTATTTTGAAATTTTTCAAATCTCATAGAAGAGAGGAGTGTAATGAACCTCCAAGGACTCAGTACTAGTTTCAACAATTATCAATGTTTTTCCATAATTCTTGACTCTATCCCTTCAACATTTTCACATCCCAGACAAACTGAATTTTCACCCACAAATACGTCATTATATATTTCTTTAAATGCATCATGACTTTAAATGACTCTAAAAATACCCTTAAGTACAATGCCATTATCATACCTAAAAATTAAGTTAATATTATTTAATACCCATCTATGTTCAAACTTTTCCAAGTTTTTCAAAGTCATTGCTGTTGTTTCAATCAAGATCCAAACAAGATTCACACATTGTATTTGATTGCTAGACCTCTTGAGATTTTTCTTTGTGTAAACTTCACCCCTCTTACTTCTAATGCCATTTATTTGTCAGAGAAATTGGATAATTTTACCCTAAGATCATGAAAGCAATTTTAGATTTTACTACTGTGAGTTTTTTGTCCTTAGGTTCTATCCCACCAATGATATGCAGTAATACTAGCTTTCTTAGAGTTACCAGCACTAGTTTATAATATATTCAGAACACAACTATGCCAAAATTACCTATTTTAAAAATAAGAATCAGTTACATATTTTTAAACAAATAATGCTTCTCCTTAATTCCCTAGAATTTCTAAAAACTTAATGATCATCTATATTTCTCTTTGATATTACACATTTAAAACTATTCTTTTTCTTAAGTTTTCCTGATTCAGCAGTGCCGTACAGGTAATAGAAAACTGTTAAAAACAAATTCTCAAATCAGGAAAATGTATTACAAATGTAAGTATGGGTGACTCTGAAAATATACAACAATGTGAAGAAAATAATTAACTAATAATGCAATCAAAATTATGTACTATTCCTAATCAGGACCATTAATCTTTTCTGTGAAATGGAAGTTATATGTTCAGGACACAACGAGAAGGCACAGGTTGCTCTTTCAATTTTGTTTTTTACTTGAGATTTAGACAGATCACAGCATTAGTAATAATAGCTGAAAATTTACCCAGAAAAGCAAGATTACTGGTTTATGAGAAAATGAAATCATAGATAAAGATTATTTCTAAATAAAGATTGAACAGTAGTATGAATGTGATAAAAGCATTTCTTCTCTTTAGTTAGGCAGAAACTTGCCAGGTGATATCTAATGACAGAAAACAGTATGGAATTGGAGCAAAGCCACTGACTCAGAGTCAGACAGATCGAGGATGGATGCTCAGTTTTGTCACTTATTTGTTAGTGGACCTTGGTGATCTTACTGAGTCTCTGAGACCATCTATTTGGTCATTCCTAAAATACCATGCCACATATGTTTCTTCTGAGATTAAAAGCGTGAAAATAGTGTATGATCCATAAAACGAGTGTTTTTAAAAAATAAGGTTTAAAAAGGTACATTACAATCTATGCTTCTGAAACTAAGGTAGTATACTCCAACAGCATTCTAATCAACTCAGAAAACGAAAGTCATGGTAAATATTGAAAACAATGGAAAGCAATTTAAAATAGCTCAAACAAGACTTAGCATTTAATAGACTTTATATTAAGCATAATTGTTTGACATAAAACATTACACATATACATTTCATGCTTTGTGAAGGGTTCTTGATAGTAAATCTGGATCCTTTCCTGTGTAAAGAAATTTCTTAACTTAAAGAGTACGTATTTGAAGTGATCAAAAATACTACTTTACGGGCACCTCACAATAAATTCCTAATTATAAATGTATTCATAAACACAGGATTTATTTTTCATTCTTTATCAGAAAACCAAATTATTCTGAAATGGGGGGTTTTCTTCAACTTCCCTACGTGTGCTGTGGGGTAGGAAGTTGGGGATAATTGGTTTCAGAAATTTGAACTCATTTATCCCGGAGCCTCCAGTCACACACACCTCATACTGGTAGCTCTGGGACAGGGTCCCGGTGCCGCTCACGTCCACCAGATGCCCTGGAAAGGGGCCCTCGGGCACCGAGCAGCGACCCACAGAGGCCGCCCTGCTCCTCCTGCACAGCCGCACCGCCACGAACAGGAGCACCGACAAGAGGAACAGCGACGACACCGAGGCCAATGACACCACCAGGTAGACGGTGAGCGAGTCGGCCTGGGCCTGGGCCGGGGCCACCTCTGGGAGAGGCAGGTAGGGCTGGGAGAAGCCGTCCACCAGGAGCAAGTGCAGCGTGGCGGTGGCCGAGCGCGGAGGCTCGCCATTGTCCTTGACCAGCACCACTAGCCTGTGCTTGGTCGCGTCGCGCTCGCTCAGTAGCCTGGCGGTGCGCACCTCGCCATTGTGCGCCCACACACCAAACAGCCCGGGCTCCGTGGCCTTGAGCAGCTGGTACGACAGCCAGGAATTCTGGCCCGAGTCGCCGTCCACCGCCACCACTTTGGTCACTAGGTAGCCCGGCTCGGCCGCCCGGGGCACCAGCTCGGTGCAGGGCACGGAGCCATTCTGCAGCGGGTACAGCACGAAGGGCGAGTTGTCGTTGGCGTCCAGCACCAGCACGCGCACCAACGCCTCGCTGCTCAGCGCCGGGGAGCCGTGGTCTGCGGCGCCCACGCGGAACTCGAACCCCTGCAGGGCCTCGTAGTCCAGCGACCTGAGGGCGAACAGGTGGCCGTTGTCTGTGTTGATGGAGACCAGGGAGGCGAGGGGCAGGTGCGGGTTCTGGGGCGGCAGCAGCGAGTAGGTGACCTGGGCGTTGGTGCCTGAGTCTCTGTCTGTGGCGCTGACGCTGCCGATGTGCAGGGCGGGGCTGTTGTTCTCGCGGACCAACAGGGTGTAGGAGGTTTGGGTGAAGGCGGGGGCGTTGTCATTGACGTCGGAGACCAGCACGGTTATGTTGTACTCGGTTTTCAGCCTGGGTGTCCCCAAGTCGGTGACGGTGATGGTAATGTTGTACTCGGCTGTGCTCTCTCTGTCCAGTGGTCTCTCTGTTTCCAAAGTGTAATAATTATTTACGGAAGATTTTAGCACGAATGGGAGGTCTTCCGGGACAGAACAAACTATCTTTCCGTTGTCCCCAGAGTCTCTGTCTCGTATCCTGAAAACCATAACCACGGTCTCTGGTGTGCTTTCTGGGATTGGACTGGTAATTGATGACACAGTGATTTCAGGAGCATTGTCATTTACATCCATCACCTGAATTCTGACTGTAGATTTTCCAAAAAGTCCTCCCCCATCTGTGGCTTGAATGATTATTGAGTATGATTCAATCGTTTCAAAATCCAAAGGTGCTGTTAAAGTAATGTCTCCAGACTTTTGATTAATTTCAAATGTCTTGCGAATATCTTCTGAGGCATGGGAAAAGGTATAGGATAGTTCACTGTTTGTTCCAGAGTCTAAATCCCAAGCCAAGACTGTCACAACCAGCGAGCCAAGGGTGCTATTCTCTGGAATCTTCACCTCATAAAAAACCTGCTCAAACTCAGGGAAGTTGTCATTAATATCTACAACCATCACCCTGACCAAGGCAGTTCCGGACCTGGGAGGAGACCCGCCATCCAGAGCAGTGAGGATGAAACTGAGCTCCCTGCACTCTTCATAATCCAGCGCCTTGTCCAGAACTAACTCAGGGTATTTCCTATTATCTGGATTGACTCTTATTTTAATGTGGAAATGAGAGTTCGGATTTATTGTGTAGCTTTTTACAGCATTGATTCCTACATCTAAATCCTTCGCACTTTCAAGCAAGAACACAGTACCAAGAGGACTGTTCTCTGGGATTTCTAAGAGCATTTCCTTCTCCAAGAAGACGGGAGAGTGATCATTTATATCCCTGACCTGGAGTTCAATTTGTAAAAACTGCGTGGGGTTTTTCATTAACACTTGGAAATACAGCACACAAGGCTCATTGGAGCCACAGAGCTCCTCCCTGTCTAGCATTTCGCTCAGGAGCAAATCCCCAGTGTTTGTGTCCAGCTGCAAATACTCTTTGTTATCATTAGAAACCACCTGAGCCCCCCGTGAAGACAGCTCACTCACCTCCAGTCCCAGGGTCTTTGCCAAATTTCCTACAAAGCTCCCACTCTGCAATTCCTCCATCACCAAAAAACTCCCAGTTTCAGAGACCGCCTGAGACATTCCCAGCAAAACAAAGAAAAGCAGGACTTGCCTTATCTGCAGAATGCCTGCCCCTCCGTTTTCCATAGCTTCTTTTCCAAAACTCCAAAATCTTCTTGCAGAATTGCTTCAGCACCACTTCGCAGTTGTGGAAACGTGCCTCTGATCTGTCTACCAAATCATCGGAAGCCTAAAGATTTTAACCTTGTTGAATGGCTTCTAGGTTGTCCCTTAAAGGATTGTTCTTTCTGTCTTCCCAGTTCTCTCCGTGTACTGGATAACAGCGTCTACAACATCCTCCAGGGTAATTTTTTTCTTGGTATTATCCTGCAGCGCCAC